AAACACTTTTAAGAGTATGTATGTTGTATAGATTAGAAGAAAGTCGAGAAGGAGGAAGAAGAAAAAGTACAAAAACCAACAATAACCAGATGATTGCAAAGATTACATTTTGGGGAGGCTTGAACGACATTTTCGCCAAAGATTGTATTTTTATTGAGAACTTATAAAACTTTTGGCGTATAAGAGTTATTTTTATGAGGAAATAAATCATATTGATATCGGGGTAAGAGGGCTGGCAATAGATTAAAAATATAATGAATGAAATGGTAAACAGATCGGTATCAGAATTGCTAAAAAAGGCTAAGAGGCAGATAAGACAAGGACCAAAATGATTAAAGTCCATTGATGTCCAATATTATCGATAGGGAGAAAAATGGATATTAATTCAAAGGATTAAAAATAAATTGAAATATTATGCAGTGGACTAGAATACATTCGGGAAAAGAGGTATAGATTCTGGGCGAAGTGCTAGTAGAATTAAAGCAAATCTCGAATTAAAGCAAATCTTCGGTTAAAAAACGTATCTAAAATTCTCAGAATACCGACTTGGGTCAATATTAATAATTTTTGTGCTGGGATGTGATGATACTGTTATGAGAACCCAAAATACCAAATTTAAGCCAATTTAATTGAAAAGTGTGTAAAAAATCCCTTCCTTGGGGATACCATATTATGGGGCTACGCTTATACGTGGTTCAATATTAAACATTTTTAGTACGGAGATGTGCTATACAATGAGAACCCAAAATACCAGTTAATTCGGTTAGAAAACGTGGCCAAAATCCCCGAAATACCGAATATTGAGGAGTGGAAAAACGTGTCCAAAATTCCCAAAATACCAATTACGGGGGGTATCGATATATGGTGGCTACACTGAAACTATGGTCAATATTTTTGTTACGGATATGAGTTATCCAAAATACCAAATAACATCCAGTCTGGTTGGAAAATGTGTCCAAAATACCGAAAATTCGGTGTACAATTATATGGGGGCTAACCTGAAACATGGATCAATATTAATAATTACTGGTACGGATATGTATTAATCAATGAGAACCCAAAATACCAATTTACAGCCAATTCGGTTGGAAAACATGGTAAAAATCTCCAAAGTACCGAGTATTGGGCAGTACCGTTATAAAGGGGCTACCATTAAACGTGGGTCAATATTAAATATTTTTAGTACGGAAATGTGCAATGAGAACGCAAAATGCCACATTAGTTAATTCGGTTGGAAAACATGGCCAAAATCCCCGAAAATACCGAATATTGAGGAGTACCGTTATATGAGGGCTACCCTGAAACTTGTTCAATATTGATATTTTTTGATACGGACATACATCCTATACCATGGAACCAAAAATGACAAAATACAGTTAATTCGGTTGGAAAATGTGGCCAAAACCCCCAAAATATCGAAAATTGGGGGGCATTGTTATATGGGGGTTACACCAAAACTTAGACCGATGTCATTTCCAATACCAAACATTCTAGGAGTACTAGTAATGTCAGTGCAGAGCTCTATCTTGAATATTCCGATCTCATATTTCAACAGACCACCTTTTAAATTTTATTATCAAAATATTTCGAGGTGTTGCAAACGTAATGACAATTTTTATATGCACTCCGCCTTATAATGGAAGGTATAAAAATCTCTTTGGAGCAGATGATACAGTCGAATCGGAGGCATAGGCAATCACTATCAGCCACCCGGGCCCCTTCTGGCTACGTCGCTGCCTATGGCTCTGAAAGCCCTAACATTAATATTCCTTAAAATCCACTCCTATGACTTTGATAGTCCATAAAAAATATGTATACACGTTTATGGCTCTTATAATCCTATTCCTAAAAATATTTCTTAAAAATCTTTACAAAAATATTCCTTAAAAATCGAAGCATATGGCTCTTGTAGTTTTTACCAAAATATTCCTTAAATACCCACGCATATGGCTCTTGTAGTCCTTACAAAAATATCTATTCAAAAGCCACGCCTAAGACTCTGATAGTCCTTACTAAAAAATATTTATTAAAAAGCCACGCATATGCCTCTTGTAATCCTTAATGAAATATCCCTTAAAAATCGACTCCTAAGGCTCTGATAGTCCTTACAAAAATATTTATTAAAAAACCACGCCTATGGCTTCTATAGTCCTTAGAAAAATATTTATTAAGAATCCACGCATATGGCTCTGATAGTCCCTGTCAAAAATATTTATTAAAAATTCACGCCTATGGCTTTGATAGTCCTTAAAAAATATTCCGTAAACATCCACACCTATGACACTGATAGTCCTTAAAAAATGGTTATTAAAATTTACGCCTATGGTTCTCAAAGTCCTTACAAAATCTTTATTAAAAATCCACGCCTATGGTTCTCAAAGTCCTTACAAAATCTTTATTAAAAATCCACGCCTATGGCTCTGATAGTCCTTATAAAAATATTTATTAAAAATCGAACCCTATGGCTCCGATAGTCCTTAATAAATATTCTTTAAAAATCTATGCCTATGACTCTGATAGTCCTTACAAAAATATTCCTTACAAATCCACTCCTATGGCTCTGATATTCCTTACAAACATATTTATTAAAAATCCACGACTATGTCTCTGATACCCCTTTTGAAAAATATTTCTTAAAAATCAACGCCTATGCCTTTGATAGTCCTTAGGAAAATATTTTTTTTAAAAATTCCACGCCTATGGCTCTGATAGTCCTTGCCAAAAATATTTACTAAAAATCCACACCTATGACTTTGATAGTCCTTAAAAAAAATATTCGGTAAAAATCCACACCAATGACACTGATAGTCCTTATAAAAATATTTATTAAAAATCTACGCCTATAGCTCCGATATTCATTACAAAAATATATCGTAAAATTCACGCCCATGGCTCTGATGGTCCCTACAAAAATATTCCTTAGTAGTCGACCCATATGGCTCTGAAAGTCCTTACGAAAATATTGCTTAAAACTCCCGCATATGGTCCTGATGGCCCTTACAAAAATATTTCTTAAAAATCCACGCCTATGCCTTTGATAGTCCTTTCAAAAATATTTATTAAAAATCCATTTCTATGGCTTTCAAAACTTATAGCCTTGATAGACCTTTAAACTATAGACATTAAACATGCTTCGTTTATAATTGGTCCCCTATAAATATAACATTCTTAATTAATCTTCTATTACTCTAAGATGGATTTTATATTGATAGGAGGTCCTTTATGTGAATTCCATATATAAAAGACATTTCCATGGATCTTATATATATAATAGAAGAAGATCCGTATTTTAATGCTAGAATAACCCCTATGGCCCTTCAAAACATAAAATACCTCCTTTGATCTCTTTGTAAGACCCACTATTTAACTACCTGCCAGCCACCTCTTGAAAATTTTCCAAATAATTGGAAATTCTTCGAAAATTAAAAATTACCAATATTTATTTATATTCATAATTTTTTGTCTTGAGATTATTGATTTGTTTTTCGCTACTTCCCGACACTCCCACTCTACTTGCGCCCGGGCACCTATTGTTACACCAAGTGTGAATGTGCCATTATTTTGTTTTGTTGGTGTTATTGTCGTCGTCGTCGACGACTAGATAAATTGATAAAGTAATCAGACGAAAGAAAATGTGTGATCGATAATGAGTAAATATATACACAGACAATAAGATCATTCTTTTATTTGGCGATTGATAAACCAAAAAATAAGAAATTTGAATGAACTTTACTTGAACGCGAGAAATTGTGGGGTTAAGAAGACCATTTGTGGGGTAAGGGGAGGTAGGGGTTGAGCTAATGGATTTTTTGTTAGACCAACTGACTGCTTGGCACAAAAAAATCCAACACAAATAATGATGATGAGGTGTGGTAATTTTTTTAGCTTTGCCCCTATCTACCATTGATAGGTGACGTAAGGGGGGGTAGAGTCAAATCAACTGATTGTCGTAGGCAAGGGAAGAGCCAGAGATTTCAGTTGGTTGGTTGGCTCGTTGCTGCTGCCGTTTGTCGTAGACGCTGTCTCATTCAGTTGAGTTGACGTATCACACACTGAAATTCGTTATAAACATTTTTAACACCGTCAGCTTTAGTTATCGCTCGAACGGCGAACGTTATAGAATTGAAATTATTTTTGTTAAAAAACGGCTGCTTCTCTACCGGTGCATTTTTTTGAATATAACAGAAATTTTTTTAAACGGTTTTGAAAAAAGTGTATTTTGTGAAAATAAAGGATAAACCTAGTGAAAGTTTTGAAAACCAAAGAAGAAAAAAATAAAAAAAAATATACGCAAAAAATATTGAAATTATAATAAAAAAATTGTTTTGATAAAAAAAATTATAATAACCCCCATTGTATATATTTTGCTGATGTACAGATGCTCTAAATTGCAGCACATGACAAGTGCAAACAAACCTGTAAAAAAGTTATATTGTTGTTGTTTTTATTATTGTTTTCTTTTTTATTTAACTGTCACCTGTTAACCAAAGTACGCAGTTAATTGCGTCAAAAGTTCCTATAAACAAAAAAAAATAAATAAAAAACTTCTTATTAAAAAAGAAGATTAAGGTAATAAGACAAGCCATTTGGGAAAATTGTTTGTTAGTACAAAAATGTTTTTTTTTAGTTTTTTTTTGTTGTTAGCACAAATATTTTTTTTGTTAGTTTAATTTTTTTTCTTAGTACAATTACTTATTTTTTTCAAAATTGTTATATATAAAAATAAATTATATATTTGTTGTGTGTGTGTTTTGTTTTCACCTTAAGGTGATTTATTTTTATTATTTGAGTGATTAATAGTTTTCTTTTTTTTCTGTGTTTTTTTCCTTACAGCATTTGCAATTTTGTTGTTACCAAACAAGAAATTCATTTTAAAATAAAGTGCAGTGCAGTCACAACAAAGAGAAGTTGTTGCGAAAAAATAAACTACAGTATTTTGTAAAAAAAAATATACAACTAAAAGAAAATAGTACATCTTAGGCAACAGCCACCCCCACATTCACACACACACATCCGACAAAATGTTGAAAAATAAAACAAATGATGAAAAAGTCGACACATTACTGGCCAAAAGTCTGGTGCCCATTATCGATTTGGCTCATTGTGGTAAGTGCATAAATAATTATTTAAAAACTATATAAAAAAGTAAATATTAAACATAAAAAATAGATCGTAAAACTCATCAGATAGTCCAAAAAAGTAAGCCTTTATAGCTGGGATAATCTTAAAAAAGATCAGAAAAATAAAGGACTGTGGCTTTGCTAATTCTTAAAAAAATGTGTTAAAAAATTCTAGTCCTTACAAAAATATTTATTAAAAATCTGCACCTATGGCTCTGATAGTCCTTACAAAAATATTTATTAAAAATCTGCGCCTATGGCTCTGATAGTCCTTACAAAAATATTTATTAAAAATCTGCGCCTATGGCTCTGATAGTCCTTACAAAAATATTTATTAAAAATCTGCGCCTATGGCTATGATAGTCCTTACAAAAATATTTATTAAAAATCCACGCCTATGGCTCTGATAGTCCTTACAAAAATATTTATTAAAAATCCACGCCTACGGCTCTGATATTCCTTAAAAAATTTATTTAAAAATCCATGCTAATGGTCCTGATAGGCATTTAAAAATGTTTCTTTAAAAATTCAAGCTTATGACCCTGACGTCCTTTCAAAATATTTCTTTAAAATCCTCTGACGCTCTTTTAAATATAATTCTTTAAAAATCCACGCTTATGGCTCTGATACTCCTTTAAAAAACACGCGTATAGCTCTGATACTCCTTTAAAAATAATTCTTTAAAAATCAACGCTCATTGCCCTGATATGCCTTTAAAATATTTGTTTTGCTTATTTATAAATAAATAGTTCTTAAAAATCCAAAACATATGGTAAAATAGGTATAACTTGACCATGCTTAGACAAATGCTAATGCTCCGAAGTTATTTAAAAACTATCTAATCAAAATGCGTGCTTATGGCTCAGATTAAAAGTATTACTTAGAATAATGGTTCTTAAAAAACTACAAATATGATTTGAAAAGTTTTCTAAAAATCCACACATATGACTCTTAAAAAACATTTCTTAAAAATCCCCGAAAATGGAACTGATTTTTTTTCTCCTGTTCCTCCTCTTGGGAGCATAAAGCAGTCTATCACATAACATCACCATTTTACTCGAGTAGTCCTTGCGTTAGTTTCGTTAATCACTAGGTTTTTTGGCCAAGATCATGGGCCAAATGTAGCCTTTCTAATGTGAGGGTGCTGTCATCTATTTTTGTCTAGAAATAATGTTTCATTGCTCTTGTTCCTCCTCGATTAGTCTTTGCTTTATTTTCGTTAATCATTGTTTTTCGGTTAAATATATGATGGACCAAATATAGCATGTCCTAGATGACGGTGCTGCCATCTATTTTTGTCTAGGAACAACGCCTCATTGCTGTTTTGTGCAGTGGTTGGTGTCCTTACTTCTATAGTGTTGTCATTTTCCTCTGGATGTAGCTAATGTAAAATGTTCTAGGTGATAGGGCTGACGTCTACTTTTGTCTAGAAACAACGCCTCCTTGAATGTGTTAATGCTGATGTTTTTCTTGCGTTACTTTTTTTGAAAGTATGGAGTTTCCTGAGCCTGCATTGGGATTTTCATCTATCGGCGCCAAGAAACAACGCCTCATCAAAATTTTGGGTAATGTTTGGTGTCCTTGCTTATTTAATAATGATTTTCTTCCTGTTCCTTCTCTTGTGTCCAACTGATTGGTCCGCTGAAGCTGGGATTGGACTGTCATCTAACGTTGTCAAGATATAGCTTGAATTTTTGTGCAGTGATTGGTGTCCCTTCTTATTTAGTGGTGTCATTTTTCTCTGGTAGGCGCTATCTCCTGTCATACCTATTTTGTGTTCTTATGTGGAGGGCGATGTAAGCCTTTTTTTTACAAATATTCGAAAAGTGCCAAATTTTCATTCGTTCTCGTTCGCTTTTCTCATTGTTATATGGGGCAAAGGAATTAGTTCGTTTCTGAAATGCCGAAGAACTTTCGAAGACCTACATGGTTGACGCATAGATCCACAATTATGCAATTACAAAAGTGGGAATTGCAGTTAAAAATTAAAAATGGCATTTATCGGAACATATGTACCGATACCCCGATATTTGTTATTCTGAGCTTGTTTTAAAGCGAATTGGCTGTAATTTGATATTTTGGGTACTCAGTTTCGATCGTATTTGATTTATACGAAAATAAATATAAATATCGATTTCAGATCAGTTCTAATATTCCACATTAGTATTCTCACAAAATATTCCATGCCGATATCTGTTCTGGTGGATATATAGTATACAAAATATTCCACAATGTTCCCTAGACACCTAGGCATTAGCTGGGTTCTGTTGAAATAACCAAATTGATAACGTCATTTTCTACCTCTGTTCAATTTGCCATTTCTTGATATTTCCTATCGTCAAATGTTTGTTATTTAAAGGCATGTTTTTCCTTTTCACTGTTAGACTAAAATAAACGAAAGATTTATTTTATTTTATATATTTAAATAGAAAAGTGAAGTACTCTTGACATAACGTAAATTCCAGTAAGCTGTTCTGCTAAAAAATTTACGATATTTGGTATCAAAAGTGGTAATGTCTGGGGAAACGATAAAAATAAATTGTGACCAGTAAGAAAAAATAATAAATAAAAAATGCATTTTGAAATAAAAAAACAAATGACTAAGCATAAAAAGAAAATAAATTTAATACAAGAATATTCAGAAGATATTTCAAAGCCCTCTCTTCCTAATTCAAATATCGTTTTTTCTTCAATCACAGAAGTTAAAGTTCAATGACTTTCAAAGAAGAGCATAGGGGAAAAAATTAAGGCGCCATGAATGCGCCAATTAATTGAGTGTTCTCGTTAACTGAAACTAATAATATTTGAAAAGTAGTTTTTTTGTCGATGTTGTTGTTAATTTGTATTTATTTGATTTCGAGACTCAGTAACAATTTGAATAAAATATTCAAATGTTTTATTTATTATTTCATCTGACTCAAATTAAATAAATGTCGAAATAGATGCCTAGAAAAAAAAACGAACAAAAACAGCTGGTTATTGTTTTTGTTATTAGTCAAGCTATTAATTAAAACAAATATACAAAATTGAAAATAAATAAAAAACAAAACAAGTTTTGTTTCTTTATATCATATTTAAACTTAGGAATACCTTTTTAAGCATTTTCGTGGAGGATTTTTTTTTGTTTGTTTTCAATTGAAAATATTTTTACTGATTATATGCAGGTGAAGTACATATGAGAATATGGTTATTTATATTTGTGTGTATATATGTGATTGTCTCCCTGACTATGTAATTATATTCATTAAAAATAATTAGTTGCAATCGCAAAAAAAAGCCGTCACTGTCAATATTTTAATGACAACTATTTAAGGGGTGATTCACTAATTATCTGTAGCTTTTAAAACAAATTTAAAAATCACATATACATATGTATATAACAAATTCCAGTTGTCTATTTTGTTTTGTTTTTTAGTTTTGAATTTTTGTTGTTGCCATCTGAGCGTTAATGAGTAGAGTGAACTTCATTAATTTTACGTCAAATGTCTAATTCTTAAAATTTTTAGAATCACCCAGAAGTGTCTGATAAGACTGTTGACACTTTTGAGGAAGACATTAAGCCCTAAAATATTTTTTTTGAGTAATATTCTCTATAAATAAAACGAGTAAATAATTTGTTATGTTTGGTTGTGTCGAATTTTTTGTACCCTCCGCCGTGAAACGGATATTCGCTATCTCCCGTAATTGCTGTTTTGCATAGATTTTCCACAAAGCTTGAGCCTGTGCCTAGAAACATCGATTCATCGACATTTTGGGTAATGTTTGGGGTCGTTGCTTATTTAATAATTGTTTCCTTCCTGTTTCTTTTCTTGTGTTGGTTTCGTTATTATTTTCCAGCAAAGTAGCCTAGTTAGTCTGCTGAAGCTGGTATTGGACTGCCATCTATCGTTGTCTAGATATAACGTCTCATTGCAGTGTTTGCAGTGGTTGGTGCCCCTTGCTTATCCAAATGTCTGCGAAAATTTTCACAGCTATATCATAAATATTATGAACTTTATCGTGACAACAAACAAACGAATCTTCCGAACAAAAATATATGTGGGCAATATTGCCAATTTTTTAACATAGCTGAAGCCGACGTTGTCCCCTTTATAACTCGGGAATTACTTAAATATAAGAAAAAGTGAATAGTTTTGGGTTAATTGACCTGACGTTGCAAACTTTTCATGACATTGACATCCAAAATTTATTTGAGTGGACGCTGTTGAGGCGAACCGGTTTTTTCTGTTCTTTATCGATTTGTACTAAGCCACTTATTTCACGGTCTTCGTGTTAAAGAAAAACTAGAAGCCTACAAAATGGGGACTACGTCTCTTATGTATAATTTTTCAACATTTTAACTACATCTACCTTTAAAAGATGCTGACATTTTGAAGCTCGATTTTGAGTGATTTTTATACCCTCAGCTTTATGGCTAATGAGGGTATATACACTTTGATACTGTGAAAATGTGCCTCATCGAAATATTGGTTTTAGGCCCCATGTTTCTTTGGACCAAATCCGTTTCAGAAGACAGCAACCGATTTCATTCAAACTTTGCACATCTTAATATTTCTTCCAAACTTAGTTTAAGTTCGAAGAAGGTTAATATCGGTCCACTCCTTCTGGTTAAAAATTTTGCTAAAAAATAATTTATAATAACATGTAAACGGACTATCCGATTTTAACGTAACTTTGTACAAGCTATTTTCGTTACCAAGCCTAGATCAAGTTCGAAGATGGGACCCATTGTGCCACTCTTTCTGGTACCTCCCCCACAGAGGATCAACATTTTCAATATTTATAATACTAATATCAAGATAATGGAATGTCCGCTTTGAACCAAACATTGCACAACCTATTACCATTACAAAGCCTAGATGAAGTAGGAAGATAGGACCCATTGGTCCATACCTTCTAATACCACCACAAATGGTCAGAATTTTCAATATTAATAAATCCAATATCGGGCGAATGGAATTTCCGAAGTGAACCAAACTTTGCACA